CACCCCTATGTCCATAGCAGCACAATCAATAATCACAAAGACTTGGAAGCAACTGAAATGCCCATCAACAGAAGACTGGATAAGAAAGCTATGGTTTATCTACTCCATGGAATACTACTCAGCTATTCCAAAAAAATGAAATGCACTTTTTTGTGGCCAAATGGGCCCAACTGGAATCCATTATGCTAAGAAAACTGAGTCAATCCCAAAAGGTTAAATACCACATGTTTGCCTTATTTTGAGACGAAAAGATATCAATCTGGAAAATAGTGCCTGTATATTGTAATATTATTGCAATCTCTGACAGCCTGTCAACAAAATCATGCTTCAACACTATAAGCAGCTAAATACTAAAATGAAAATAGACATGAGACAGCTGCATAGTAATCTATAGCCATTTTGAGGTGTATAGAACCCAGTTGGATATAAACCAAAATTGAAATGTTTATGAAGAATCTGCATTTTCCTATTAACATATTGGTTAATCAATACCATGTCAATCAATGCCATAATGCTGTAAATTGTTGTTAATGTTATGTTGGGGCTTTTAATTGATTGAGATGATACTTTGCCAGCTTTACCTTCAGACCAGAGATGGTCTCACCAAGAAATCGCTGAACTCACTAGGATAATAAGATGCTGGACACTGTACTTGGTAAACACTTCCAATGAAAGAACCTCAACTGAATTTGAACTGTGGTAACCCAGCAAGGTGGAGAAATCCACCATGGGGAGAGGGCTCAGGGAGGGGTGGGGGGAATCCCAGTGCCTTTAACATTGTGTCACATAATGCAATAAAATTAATTTTTAAAAAATCTACAAATTAATAAAATGAAAATTTTAAATCTAAAAAAAAAAAAAAGATTCAGGCATGTGTGGCGACCAAGACCTGGTGGTTTGGAGGGAAGTATCCAGAAGATAATTTGTTTTAGACAGATTCAACAGCTCCATTACAGAATACAGAGTTTGGCTATTAGCATAGAGTATCACTGATCACCACACACTGGCACACACTAAATCTATGTATGGGGACCTCTTTGGCAGTGTTAGGTATGATTACCCGACTGGGTGGTGGAATTGTGGAGTGGTCACATTTGGCAGGATCAAGACACTATCCAACATGCAAGAAAACTTGGTCTGGGGATAGACTCTATGGGGTTGTGTGGGCCCAACCGTCTGGAATACAAGTCCCGCTGGTTAGCTCGCAAGCTGGGATTGCAATTTTCTAAGCTAGGTGTGACCATGCCACCTGCCATCTCTCACGGGTAAAGGAACCCACAATAGTCAGGGTAGGTCAAGGCAGCAGCACCTGAATGTGCATCCTTAAACAGGATGTGGGGTGGTCTGGACTGCCACGGGAAGGGGGCAGAATGGGAAGGGCTGAACAAACCTTAACTCACAAGAAACAACAGAAATCAGATTGTAGCACAGGTCATGCCAAGTAGGCCTTTGCACCTACTGATCTGCGTGAGGGAGGGACACTAAGCCACAGCATCCAAGGGGCCAGGACAAGTGAGGGGCTTTGCCAAGCTGAGGCAGAACAACCACTGGCCTGCATGTGATCTAAGGCTGGGAATAGGCCCAGTTGGGGAACTAAGGGGACACCCTAGCTGGGTTGAGTTTCCCACCAAGGAGCGCATGGGCTGGAATTGGGGCTGCCTTCTGATCAGGATATGGTTGCAATCTCACTTGGCACAAGTGTGGACTGGGACAGGAAGCACCAAGCCAGGCCAGGCTCCAACACCATCTGGTGCTCTGGAGGACCGGGGAGAGATGTGTGACAGACTAGGCTAGGTCTCATCCCTTACTGAACCATGTGTGAGCTGTTGGGTTGAAGGCCAGTAAGGAAAAGCCACTGTTCCTGCTAGGACAGGAGGTGAACTAAGTAGGGCTGGCTCATGGACCCACTGGTATGCGCAAAAACTGACATTGGGAGAGGTTCTGATGGAGGAGCCTGGACAACTTCTCTGACAGGACAGTCCCTGCAGGTAAGCGCAAGAACCACAATAGGGAACAGCCCAGAACAGGCAATGGAAATTATCCCACTGGCATACACATGGCATTGGTTGGGGGCAGACCAGGCTGAACCTGTTCACATCACCCACTGGTGAATCTGAGCACCAGAACAGAGTGTGGGTCGAGCCAGGTTCGATTGCAACACATACCAGTACACAATAAGGAATACTAAGGTGAGATAAGCCGTACCAGATGTGGTTGCAGCACCCAAACAGCACAGGTGAAAATCAGGCGGAGGAAGCAAAGTTGGCAGAGAAATGTAGGCTCCCCTGCAGGACAACTATTTCCATTGGAAAGCGTGAGTTGGGATGGGGGCCTTTCAGACTAGGCAGGGCTATAACATCTGTGGGCCTCGTGTGAGCTAGACTAGGGAAGGGTCACGGTGGGCTGACTGTTCTGACTGGTGCAAGCAAAAATTAAGAGTGAGTGAGGGTTGGTTGGACTTTGCCACAGATTCAGATGGCAGAGGCTGGCACTGGGAGCTAATTCTGTCAAGTCAAATGCCAGAACAATCTGGAGAGTGCATAATCTGGGAATGGGTGTGGCCTAGAAGGGAAATAGTGGGTACCTCCCTCAGGGTTACACTCTCACTGGACAGCACGAAAACCAGGACAGGGGCAGGGGTGGCTAGACAGAAAGGCACCTGCCAGTAGGTGTATGGGCTGGATAGCAGGTTGGTTGGGTTGAACTAGGCTCCAATGCCTATTGACATATATAAGAGCTGAATGGGATGTGCAACAGACTGGACTAGCCTAGTACATACTGGCAAGTATGGTAACCAGGGTAGGGGGCATAACTGGTGGGGGTTTGGGGAATCATCCCAACTAGGCTGCAGCTCCCACTGGTTTGTGTGAGGCCCAAGTATGGAGTGGGGAGGATTGAGCTGGAATACAACACCCATTGATTAAAGTGGAAGACAGGGCTGGAAACAGAACTGACCCAGAAATTGCAACAACCAGCATGTTCATAAGCTGACTGGGGCAACGGGATGTGCCAGACCCTGTACTGGCAAACTCACACAAGAATCAGATTTGGGATCATCTCAGATGAAGTTACTTTGGAGATCCCTCCAACTGAACTGCTGATCTTGGAACCCCAACCATGAAGAGACTGTCAGCCGGTGGACTCTGAATAGGTTTCATTGCAATTGGAACTGTGAGATTGGCAGCAATTCAGGACTGAGGAACTATCAAAACTGCTTGAGCAGGACCCTCGGAGCATGTGTCCTATTGGGGATCAGGGATGGGTGGGAGGTTGGGTGGGGCTTTTCCCTTTGCTACTCCCCTAACCCCAGATACAGGGGAAAATGATAACATTAGTGTGGAAACAATGGTATTACCCACTTTTACCCTGTAACCCTTGACCCTTTGTACCCTAATCAACTAAGATTATTAAAATAAATTTTTAAAAATTGAATTTCCCAAATAAACCAGAACTGCTTAGATGGAACCCCTGTTCGTCTGTGTGTCTCTCACACACCAGGAGACTGAATGGTGGGCAGTAGGCTAACCCCCTCCAGCGATGGGGTACTAGAGGAATCTGTGGGGGAGATCCCACAATCAAGTGACCATTCCCCATCCCCAGTACTGGGTGGCTGGCAGGCTGATTATGGCTCTTGCCCTTATCACTCTCTTTCCCCCAGAGACAGGAAGAATAGAAAATTTGGAAATAATGATCATATTCACTTTTCCCTAACTCTTGGTCCTTTCCACCTTGATCAACAATGTAAATATCATCTAAAATTTAAATAAATAAATAAATAAAATTTTAAAAGGTAGATGAACCTCAAGCAAGAAAGGGGGGCAGACTAAAATGTCAATGAATTCTCCTTATAGGTTCAATTATTTCCACTTGTCCTAGTATAGAACTAAGAAAAACAAAGTATTTTATAAATTTCTAATACTCATTATAAACTATTAAATTTGTATTGAAAATATATCTGAAGACTTAAACTAGGCAAGTTCTGATAATTTGCTTATGCTTTGATAAATATAATACCCAATACTAAAATAAGACTTAGTTTGATGAAAACATCTAAAATAAAAGACTAGGGCTTAATGTGTTAACTCAGTATCTAAATCTTCAACTTGAAAGTGCTGGGATTCAACTACCAGCCACTCTACTGCCCTAGCTCTCTGCTAGTGGCCTGGAAAAACTGCAGGAATAGCCCAAAGTCTTGGGACTCTGTACACACATGGAAGACCCAGAAGAGGCTTCCGGTTCCTGGCTTCATATCAGCTCAGCTCCAGCTGTTGCAATTACTTGGGGAATGAACCAGCAGATAGAAGATTTTTCCATCTCTCATTCTCTCTGTAATTTTTCCAATTAAAAAATTAAAATAAAATCATTCTTTAATAAGATTAGGGACCACTTAGAACAGCAGGGCTTTAAGTAATTAATTACTTTATGAGATAATTATTAGTAGTAACTGATTTATTATTAAAGGCCATTTATTATAAAACTAATAATGTACTGAAGGCTCTTTCCATCATGGTGGGCCTGTGAAGGCCTGCTGGGAACAGGACTTTGAAAAGGCAAATAGGGGCACAGCATGATAGCCTAGTGGCTAAAATCCTTGCCCTGCTACACCAGGATCCAATATGGGCACCAGTTCATATGCTAGGTGCTCCACTTCCCATCCAGCTCCCTACTTGTGGCCTGAAAAAGCAGAGAAGGATGGCCCAAGGCCTTAGGACTCTGCACCAGTGTGGGAGACCCAGAAGAAGCTCTTGGCTCCTGGCTTTGGATCAGCTCAGCTCCAACTGTTACAGCTACTTGGAGAGTGAACCTATTGACAGAAGATGTTTTTGTCTCTCTTTGTAAAATCAGATATTCCAAAACATGAATAAATTAAATAAATAAATAAATCTTGAAAGAGAAACAGAGAGAGAAAAAGAAAGAAAAAGAGAGAAGGATAGGGAGGGATTATCGGAAGGAAGGGAGGGAAGAAGGAAGGAAGAAAAGGCAAATATGTCTAGAAGAAAATGGCCAAGGCCACTTCTGCTGGCTATATACAAGATCTCAGGAGCCAAAGGGAGTACACAATCCTTCTTAAAATTGAATATGTTTTTGCTCAAGATGAAAGCAATTTCTACTTGGGCAAGAGATGTATTTACATGTACAAAGCAAAGGACAACATCATGACTAACAAAACCAGAGTGATCTGAGGAAAGAAACTCATGCCTATGGAAACAGTGGCAAGATTATTCAAATCCACGTCCATCTTCCTGCTAGGCACACTGGACACAGAATCTGTGTGATGCAGCATCCCTCAAGGATTTAAACCACTGAAAGGCAAATAAATTAAAATGGCCTGAGAAAAGCAGGGGAAGATTGCCTAAGTATCTGCCCCATGCCACCCTGTGGGACACCCTGAGTAAGCTCCTAGTTTTGGCCTACACCAGGCCTTGGCTATTGTGATTATCTGAAGAGTAAACCAGTGGATGGAATATCTCTCTAAATCCCTATCTTAATCTCAAATTAACTTAAGAGTTACAAGTAGAAAAACTTTACACTAGATAAAAAGGAATTTATATTTACAAATTCTAAACCTTAATCAAAAACTAATAAACAAAACTTATTATGTGTTTATTTTACCAGAATGAAGTGTGGTTTTTATCTTTGTATTTTTATTTGTATGGCAGAATTAGTGAGAGAAAAAGAGAGATCTTCCATCTGTTGGTTCACTCACCAAGAGGCTGCAACAGTCACAATTAAGTACATCCAAAGCCAGGAGCCAGGAGCTTCTTAAGGTCTTCCACATGAGTCCAAGGGCACATAGACTTGGGTTATCCTCTGCTGCTTTTCCAGATCATTCATAGGGAGCTGGGTCAGAAGTGGAGCAGCCAGAATTCGAACTAGTAGCCGTATAGGATGAGGACATCACAGACAGAGGATTAACCTACTATGCCATGTTGCCAGCCCTTAAGTTTTTTTTAAAGCTAATAAGAATGTTTCCCTTATAAGTCTGAATAAATATTCATAATTAACTTATCGTCAATGTATATTGCTTCTCTTGTTTACATACAAAACTACTTGAAAATAGACACAAAATTGTATTTTCCTAATTAATGAGATTTTATGATATATAACTGAAACCTACATGTATGAAAATACTCATTAAATTCTCTCATTACTAAATTAGTGAATATATCCATGGAAAACACATTACAGAAAACTCTATTCCATATCATGATTTTATAAGTCCTAAATTAATGAATATATCCATGCAAATCACATTACAGAAAACTCTATTCCCCATTTCAGTGCCAGTTCAAGTCCAGGCTGATCCATTTCCCATCCAGCTCGCTGCTTATGACCAAAGTAAGCAGCAGAGAATAGCCCAAAGCCTTGGAACCCTGTACCTGCATGGGAGACCCAGAAGTTCCTGGTTTCAGATTGGCTCAGCTCCAGCCATTGCAGCCATTTGGAGAGTGAACCAGTACATGGAAGATCTTTTTCTCTGTCTCTCCTCTCTATAAAATCTGCCTTTCCAATAAAAATCAAATAACCTTTAAAATGAGATTTATTATATTTTTATTGGGAAGGTAAATTTATAGAGAGAAGAAGAAAGATCTTCTATCTGCTGGTCCACTGCCCCCAAGTGGTCCAAACAGCCAGAGCTGAGCTGCAGCTTGGTCCAACGCAGCCTCCTCTGAACGCCAGGTTCCATGTCAGTGAGTTCCAGGGTCATGCCTTGCTCCCCAGCCCTCACATAAACCAGCATGTATTGCAGTCTCACAGGGATAAACTCACAAATCCCCCACACAATCTGCCCCTAAACCCACTAAACCCAGTTCTCTCTCACAGTTAGTGTCATGGGCCAGCCTAACATGCCTACCTGCTGCCCTTTGTTGGCAAGTACTGTGGCCTAGTCCTACAGGTGTGTAAGTGGGCTGTGACTGATACCAGATAGCCCAGGCCAGGTATCCTACATGTGCAGGTGTCCTGCTCTGACCCAGACACATCCTCTGGCTTCCCTGCCTCCAAACCACCCAGTCTTAGTCCCTCATTTATCTATAATTACAGTGGTTTGGTTGGTAGAAGTACCCCGTAAGTCATTCCTCAACTAAATGTATTTCCTCAGCAGTCTCCACACACACACATCCTCAAACCTTTCTCCCAGGACAATTCATAATCACAATGCCCATGGTTGAGTTGACGTGGGCCTCAGGCCTGGTCTTCCCCTACAGATCTTTTTAAAAATAACATTAGTCAACAACTACTGGCACACTGATATCGTTAACAAGACCCAGAATTCCCACCAGCTATTGGCTGCATTTCTCCCAGCAGTGTAACACATGCCTAGGTACCAGGCATCCAGGGCAGTTGCCTATAACTGGGGAGGCATATATTCCAATTCAAGGATATTTTAGATAAATGACTATACATGAACTTGTCACATGAATGAAACTAGCTTCATCTTCAATACTTATCAATAATCCAGTGGAAGATTTTTCTATCATTTCTGTAAATCTGCCCTAACAATAAAATAAATAAATAAATATATATATATTTTTAAATTATTTGTCAGGAGCCATGTACTATAGCCACACTGAAGCCATTTTGAATATAGAACTATGGGCCAGTGGAAAACCCCCGATTGGCTAGACGCTTGGGAAAGAGGTTATGAAACTGATCACACACCTGGTTTCAATTATTTCTAGCAATTGTTTCAGAATGTGATTTATGTTGTACCTGATGACATCCTGTTACTGGCTATCTACACTATTGTTGATATGGTGGTTACTATTGTTGATATGGTGGCTACTCAAGAAAAATTGGTCTTGAGACCATGGCTTATGAACCAGTTTCTCCTTTCCTCCCTGAGCCTTAGTTACTGAAGAATATAAAAACTCTCAGTTGAAATCAATAAAATGACAGCTTGATCAGACATCCTGTCTTGCTGTCCATTCTTTTGATCTCTTGTCCCTTCATTCTCTCCTAGGTTGGTTGCGACCCCCATTGACTGTTCTGCTGGATGGGACAATTATTCTCAGGCCCAGTATGGTAGCCTGGTGGCTAAAGTCCTCACCTTGCATGCTCCAGAATACCATATGGGTACTGGTTTGTATCCCAGCAGCCCTGCTTCCCATCCTGCTCCCTGCTTATGACCTGGAAAAACAGTCGAAGATGACTCAAAGCCTTGGGACCTTGCACCTATGTGGGAGATCCAGAAGAATTTCCTGGCTCATAGCTTCAAATCAGCTCAGCTCCAGCTATTGAGGCCACTTGGGGAGTGAATCACCTGATGAAGATCTTCCTCTTTGTCTTCTCCTTCTCTCTGTATATCTGACTTTCCAATAAAAATTAAAATATATTTTTAATATATATATAATTCCCAGACCAGGATTTGGCCATCCTGGTGAAAACACATCAAAAAAAGCAGGGGGAGTAGCACCGGGACATAGCATGCTAAGCTTCTGTCTATAGTGCCAGCATCCCATATGGATGCCACTTCAAGTCTCACTTCCCAAACTAGCACCTGCTTATGGCCTGAGAAAGCAGAGATGGATGGCTGAAGTCCTTCAGCCCCCACACCCATGTGGGAGACTCAGAGAAAACTCCTGGAAACCTGGATATAGGTTTTAGATCAGCTCAGCTCCAGCTGCTATAGGCATTTGGGGAACAAACCTGTGGATGAAAGAAATCTCTCTCTCTCTCTCTCTCTCTCTCTCTCTCTTTCTCTCTCCTTCTTTCTGTAACTCTGCCTTTCAAATTAAAATATTTTTTTTAAGTAGAAGGTAAAGAATTGTTACACTGATCAACAAGTTTCCTTCCAAATGGATCCAGTTTATTTGTCTCCTCTGATGCATTTATTCCCCAACTTTTACTTTAAGATTTTCTAAAATAAATAAGCAAAAAATTACAGAATCAATTTCCATTGCATAAAAAAAAAGGTCAGCTAGGTTCAGAGAAAAAAATTTGAAACAAAAGCAAATCAGATGCTTTGCAAATAATGCAGCCTCAGTTCTAGTTTACAGGAAGAAGTGATTTGCAGCGATCTTTTTAATTTAGAACCAGAAATGCAAGGCATTGGAAAAAGAGTCTTATTACCAAGAAGCAAAATTAGTGATAACTGGTGTAAAGAAGTGATGAAAGCTGGATTAATAAGTGTCATACCTATTTTCACAATAAATTCTGAGTAAATACCTAGCAATGAAAGAGGAAGGAGGAGCCAGCATTGAGCACAGTAGTTAAGCCACCTCCTACATCACTGGCATTACACCTGAGCCCTAGCTTGAGTCCCCACAGCTCCACTTCCAATTCAGCTCCCTATTAACGCACCAAGGAAGCAGTGGAAGATGGCACCAGTACTTGAATCCCCACCACACACAATAGGAGGCCAGGATGGAGTTCCTGGGTCCTAGTTTTGTCCTGCCCCAGCCTAGGCTGTTGCAGGTATTTGAACTAGCAGATGTAAGACTCATTCTCCCTCTCTCATTCTTTCTCTCTCTCCCTCTCTCTCTCATTCTCTAACTTTGCCTTTCAAGTAAGCAAGCCTTAAGAGAGAAAGCAAAGAAAAAACCAATTCTTCCAAGTGTAAGTGAAATCACCAAGAGACATAGACAAAAATTCAGTTTTTGTTTTTAAGTTTGTGATTTTTTTATAAATGTGTATTCAAAGACTTATAAACAGAAAATCCCCGTGTTAGCTTGGGGGGTGGAAAGAAAAAGCAGAAGGGATGCATGAGTCAGAGTCTCTGACCTTGAAGGACTGCCTAATTTCAACAGCAGGCAGTTGTTCTCACGAATAATACCAGGAAATGAAACAAAGAGGGGGAACACACCACATGAAGAAAGCAAGCCAAGTTAGAAACAGCTAGTCACCATTCCCAGAGTGAAACCACCCCGCAGGGGGTCATGCTGAGTCTACCCTAACTAGGCACCTGTCTGTAGCCTGGGGGACACTGCCTTTATTGCTTGTAGATCTGGAGCTTATTTTCCTAGATCCAAGCAACACATTCTTATTAGCATCATCACGAAGTCCCTAACTGAACACCGAGCTCCCTCTAGTGGCTTCCAGAGCACTGCCTTAGAGAAGCTTCCACAGGATGGATGCAGGCATTTAGCAATTCTCTGTGAGGCTGTGGGCAGATCCAATCCCCTTCTCTTTCTGCACAGGTTTAAAAAAAAAAAAAAATCTTCTAAAGGTTGGGATTGGGATCTTCTTCACCTGACTAATAAACCACTGCTCAGGACCACTTTCCTCACCCTGACACACCAAGTGTAGTCACCAGCACCTCCTCAGGGGTCAGTCTGGACTCTGATTCCTCAGCTACTA